GCAAATAATAATCTTAAAATGTACAGAAACAAAGGCTGTAGTGGTAAAATCAGTCTATTGGCTACGTCAGAGCTCGATTCCTCCCCACCATTTTCCCTCTGAGTGAGCGAACCTGGTAGTTTTACTGACCTTGGGCGCGTACTCTATGACCATAACCTACTATCATTCAGGATATACGTCCTTTCCCCATCCTGGAAGCCTGCGGGCATCATCGGAAACATTACCCAATATTTCAAAAAACAATATATCGATTTTTCTCTTTTATTTCTTTTTACTTTCACATACCTATATGAACACATAAGCACATGCGGATCCAGAATTACATTTCCGAAAGAAACTAACTACCTATACCAAAAGGTGTTAAAGTAATTTTAAAGTCCTATTAAATGTAATTACATGTACAATAATACTTTTAGAGTATTTTTTTATTAAGACGCGGTAATATTTTGCCATTTCGGGGAACGGGCCTCAGCTCGAAATCCCTCTCTCCATAGATCCGCCTGTGATATAAAGGTAAAGTATTGTGATCGTGAAAATTTTCGAATCTGTCTTCATAACGGAAATACACGTTTTGAGGTCCCCTGATTCCAAATCCCACAAAATTGTCTGTGTATATGTGAAAAGTCAAAAATAAAAAGTCGTTCGTTCGGTTTTTATGAAATTCCGATGTGTCAAAAACTTGTTCGTTAAAATCGGCGGGAAGTGCCACTTTATATCAGCGGTGAAATACATTTTTTTCAAAAACGGTTCCTACGATTTTGATTAAACTCGGTGTATCATTGTATAACTAAGTAGTCTTTAATATCCTTAGGTCTTATCCCCAATGATGTCATTTTACAGAGCTTAAATGCCCAATGTTCAAATACGTCTTCCTCTAAAGTAATAAAAATAACTCTATTTTATTAACATTAACTATAAAAAATGCTCAAATAAGAAGTTTGAAAGAACATGATAATTGCAAACTGGATAAAAAAAGAAAACTGTTTATCCAGGTTGAAAATAAATCTCCGGAAATAACAGTCAGAATGTATATGTATAATACATCGTTAGAAAGCGGAGAAATTTAGAAAAAAAAAAAAACAAATAAATAAAGTTGTAGAAGGAAACAGAGATCGACGAAAAAAATATTAATAATAATTTCAGAAAACCAACATTTAACGTAAATCGCATGTTCCAAGGGAATAATTTCTTATGACATTTTCTTACTTAATGTAAACTTTTAAATATGTTTATAAGTTTGAAAAAAAAGCATTTAAAATCCACTGAATAAAGCCAACGCCATTGTTTAAAATATTACATCATTGTACTTATGTGCACAGGTGAATTACGGGAGAACTTTCGGGCTGAAGTCTCATTTCTCCCCAAAAGATGATAAAATATAACCATGTTTTACAGAAAAAAAATATTGAAAATAAATCTTTCGGGCTGAAGTCCCCCAAAATTAAATCCTGGATCCGCTAGTGTTTGTGTCTAAGAAGTAAAATATAAAAATATTTCTTTTATATTTTTATAATCTTAAGTACATTTACTGTAGTTTAATAACTCTTGGCATGATTATATATTTAAATAGTTAGGTATCTATTGGCCGTTTATTCCAAAAAATCATCATGTAACGTTTTAGAAAGTTAAATTGGTGAATCATTTGATGAATTTTCATTATACACTTACAATTAGCCTGAAAACTTTTGACCTATCCATGCCAGGCAATGAAAATCTAGCAATTTCATGTTGGTAAACTTTACAATGGGAAATGACTAATTGTCCTTATAAATCCATATAAATGATGATAGGTTAAATATTCAGATGTACTTTCAAATCTCTCTAGGCATATATGAGCCTTTTGGTTGACATAATGACTGACTCCAATTTCATCAATTTTTATTATTAATTTTAGTGATGTTTCTAGTGGCAAAATTTATACCTTTATTCACAGTTATACATTTCAACACTGCATCACCTACTCAGGAATCAACTTAGTCACTGTATGTATATATATATAACTTTTCCAACTAGAAATATCACTAAAATGACTACTCAAAAATGTTGAAATTGGAGTTGGTCATTACGTCAACTGAAAGGCTCAGAGACTGAAGTTATGTCGTTTATAAAAGCAGATGGAAAATATAGATTTTTATTGCCTATCGTCGATATAATAAATAGACTTCAAATATTTTATAATAGCCCATCATTGCCAGAAAATAATTTCTATTCAAAGTAGAGGGGTAAGTGAAAGTTGTGTGTTGAGCTCACCAGATTTTTTTTCTTCGTGGTTTGTAGTTTCACTACATAAACAATTTATATATAGTACAGATATTTCATGACCGATATAGCGATCACTAGGTGTTTGATTGTCACGTTTATTCAGCAACAAGGGTAATATTCTAAGCGAATCTGTTAAAGCCCAGTAACCTTATCAAAACGGGGGTCTAAGATGCTTCGAATGGGAGTAGAAAGTTTCTTTTTTTTCTTGTATAGGATGTGACTAAGACGTAAAATCCAAGTTTTCGACCATGGCAATCAATAACATTGTCTGTCTTAGACAAGTCAAAAGTTGTCACACAAATTGTAAGTGGATATTGTTGGAATATCACAAAAGGAAATTTCATCCAACTATTCACTAATTTAATTCTCTAAAAAGTTACATGATTTTTCGGAATAAACGGACGAAGCTTTACAAGATATAGCCCACACTGCGCTGCGGTATTGGGATCAGGAATATGATGATGATTACACAAGTGTTAAGGTTGAAAATCCGTACATTAAGAGAGAAATTGTCCAATGACACAACTCTCAGGCATAGATGGGGATCATCATAATTACCGATTATGATAACGATTATAATAAAAAATGTTTTTGATTTTAATGATAATCATGTAATCATTATTATAATAATAATCATAATCATAATTATAATCATTATAATCAAAATCACTATAATCGTAATCGCCTAATTGTAATAAAAAGAATCAAATACACATGATTTTCCTCTGTTTAGACTAAAAGGAAAACGAGTATAAAACGTTTTTATATTTTCTTTTAGCTGTCGGGAGCACTTTCTATGATAATATCGTCGGTTTAACATTTAAGATTTTCCTAATTTCCATTCGCTTTTCTTCTTTTAACTCGTGAATGGATGCTCGGTTTTTCACCGTTTTAACAGTTTTTCCGATTACGTAGATGTGGCAAACAATGGAGAATTGGTGTGGAAACATTTCCGAATTTCCCTTTGCTTTTCTTCTGTTATCTCTTGGATGGATGCTCGGTTTTTCACGGTTCCAAGAATTTTATAACTGTTTACAGGTAGGCCAATGAAAACAGAATTGCTATGAATTTTCTTTCGATTTTCCTCTTTTATCTCGTTTTTAAATAAATGAAAATCCTAACAAAGCAAAGGCAAAAATTAGCAATATAAATTTTCTTCAAAATTATATAAACTTTTTTTTCTTGGTCCCTTGGCATCAAGTCTGGGTTTCTTAACTTTTCATTCATTCAAGACTTGAGTCTAGGCTTAAATCTACTTATTAAAAACATAATAAAATGGCACCTAACATGACTAGAAAATTATTTTATATTTTTACTATAAATTTATGTTGTATAAATTAATGTTTTATTGAATAAATTATATGTAAGTGTTTTTTATTATATTTCTTTATTTGCTGACCTAAGAAAGCAATAAATATATAATTTTAATTTTAACTACCATAATAATAATAAAAGGCTTAGCGAACATGAAGGTTGGATGCCGACACCACCAATCGCTTACTACACACCTCTCTCCACCGTTCGCCGTCCAAACCCAGTCCCTTCAGATCGGCTTTAATGCAATCTTCCCACCTTCGCTTCGGTCTACCCCTCGGACGCTTACCATTCGACGTTGAAGACGCTGCTCATCCCTTAATGTAAGCGGCCAAGTTTCGCATCCATAAAGAACTGTAGTCAAGATAATTGTTTTATAGATTCTAATTTTTAAGTTCCGGGACAAGAGGCGCGAACTGAGTAGTTTTGTCACAGAAAAATAACAAGCATTTCCCGCCTTCAGCCTAACCTTAATCTCTTCTTCAATTTCGTTTTTTCTAGTTATCGTAAAACCTAGATACCTAAATTTATCTACCTGTTCAAACATATTACCATCTATATCGATATCACCAGTAGTATAGCCATTTTTGCAGCTAACCATATATTTTGTTTTATCCACATTTATTTCGAGTCCTAGTTTTTTACCGGCTTTCATTAACGTTGTATTTAGTTTTATAGTTTCAACGCCTTCGCTTAACAGTACCAGATCATCAGCATAGCCCAGCACGGATGTTGTTCCACCCAGATCCAACCCTTTCTCGGAACACATTACCTCCCTAATGGCATGTTTTAAACCCGAACGAACCTCAAATTTTTCTGACAGATTATTACCGATTCTAACTTTATTGAATGTCTCCGTCAAGCACATGCTCACTAGATTTACTAGTTTTTTTTTTGGAATCCCCTGCTCAGTTAGAATATTATACAGTTTCTGGCGGTTAATAGAATCGTAAGCCTTTTTAAAATCTATATACAGCTGGTGAACAATACCGTTGTACTCCAATTTTTTCTCTAATATTTGCCGTAAAGAAAATATTTGATTAATAGTTGAACGATTCCGTCTAAACCCGCATTGGTAGTTTCCGATAATTTTCTCGGCATATTCCGTGATTTGACTGGTTAAGATTAAAGTGAATATTTTATAACATACCGGAAGGAGTGAAATTCCTCGATAGTTATTACAATCCGTCCTCGGGCCCTTTTTGTGAATCGGAATAAGAATAGATTCTTTCCATTCCTCAGGTAATTTCTCATTCTCCCAGATCTTTTTAACCAACAGATCTTTTTAACTACCATAAATATATAAATTTTAAAAACTTATTATTTCACTAATCTAAATCTTTATATATTGCTGATCCTGTTAGGATCATTATCTTCAAATTGATAAAAATCTTATATATATATATTTTTTTTTTTTTTTTCCAGGGATCGCATCAACCATTGCTTTGTTTTCTGTAGGTCAGTTATTCTCTAGGCTTATTGGATATGTTTATGTTTCAAGAAATCAAAAACAAATAAAATTAGCATACCTCAATTTTTGGGGAAAACGGATAGATATAATCTGTGATATAAAAGATGTTACACCACTAGATGACAACCCTTCTTCATCCATAAAGGACTTCCTTTATAAAACTGTCTGGATTTCTACTTATGACAAACCACTCAAGATCAATTTAAGTAATGGTCAAATCTTAGATGGTGATCTTTTCAAACATTCATTTTATAATACTAATGAAACAGGTTATTACTATAAAACCAAATAGTTCCAATTATTTAAACAATGTATTAATTTTATATTACAAATTTGAAATTAAATAAATTTTGAAATCACAACTCATAGAATCATTTCTTAATACACCTGGTAATTCTCTTTTCTTATAAGTATGAAAAAAAAGGAATAAACATTACAAATAAATGATAAAACTAACTATTGGTTTCAAAATACATCTATCTTATAGTCAATCAGGTAACAAATGACTGCATTCATCTAATTCAGCAATAACATTTTTATAAATGAAACTTACATCTCTAAAAGTATTATACATGCTTTTATATAAAATATATTTCATATAATTACGAATAAATGAAGTTAATACAGTCAACAAGTAATAAATCAGTCGTTTAGAACTGTACATACAAAAAATGTAGATTAATAACTTAAATATTTTAAGGCATTAATAGAATCAACATTTTAAGAACAAAGTAACTTCACAATTCTATTTTAAAGCTATAAAACACCAGAGAGATGAATTTAAAATAAAGTAGGAAGATGTTAACAAAAGAAGAAGGTACTATGTGTATTCTGTAAAATCGTCAATTAGAAGCCTACGAGAGGGTTGCTGTTTCATTTGCTTGTCGTCTCCACATCCCTGCTCTTGCTGTAGCTTAAGCCTGATACGCTTTATCTGCCTAAGCCTTTCTAACCAGTTAGAAGCATACGGCTCTCTTGATGGAGAGTTCAAACGACATGAAATCATAGATGCCAACTGCAAATAGATAATAACATTTTATTATATACATTAATAAAAGGAAAACTATGATTTCAGATTTTAAAAAATAAACTATTTATATCAAATAATTATATCATAAGAAAATACCATCAACTCAGTACTCAATTTTTGAATCCTTGGATTCTATAATTAGTCAAATTTTCAATAAATTACAGCATTAATAAGAAAGATATAAAAAAAAAACAAAAAAACTAATGAATTGTTTCATTAATTTATCTTCAAGATTCTGAGGTGCATCCATGCCGAGTTAAGGAGGCTTTACCCCATTTACTATAATAAGTTATAAATAGCTGTTTAATGTAAAATTAATATTTTTCTTTTTCTACAGTAGAGTTCATATTTTAATTTTGTAAAATTCTTTTAAAAACTTTGTTGTTTATTAATGTATTTCATGTTTAAAATATTATCATCCCGAGCTTGGCAATCCATTACTGGATCTTGCCTGCATCAAGAGTTGCCCTCCACGATTTCCTGTCCTGAGCAGCCGTTGACCAGTTCTTGATTCCAAGGACTCTAGCATCGACATTTACTTCTTCTATCCATCTCAATTTCAGTCCACCTACTTTTCTTCTTTTCTTTTCCACCTGGCTCCATGCTGAACAGCTTCTTTGTATTTGAGGTCTTGTTCATCCATACAACGTGACTCGCCCATCTCAGTCTTGATATCCGGATATATCATGTTTAAAATAAAATATGATAAAATTTGATACTGTATTTCTCCTTCTTTACAATACTTGATGGAGTGGTAGGTTCATCTTGAATCCTTAGCAGGTGTCACAGTCTACTTGACTTCAGAAGTTTTGGGTGGACATGCACTACTTAATCAATATTTTTTAAGATACTTACATTTGAATGTACAGCTAACTGCCTGGCAAGTATAGCAACACTGTGGTCGGAAACAACTTTGTACTCTGTATGATTGATGTGCTGATGCAGCTCTTCTTTAGCCTTAACTATTATTTGGTTTGTTCCCAAATCCAAAGGCTCAACCACAACAACTGCATAATTAAACTGTGCCTAATGAAGAAATACAAAAATAATGTATTACAATAAAAATAAATACCAAGCTGAAATATTTATAAATTTTGCACCATACATTTAATTATAAAATACTATAAATAATAATTTGAAAATAAGTAGGAATAAACATCAATAACCATAGTTTTTGTTTTGCTACTACATTCGAAAAATGAAAATCCAAATATGCTGATATTAAAGTAATTATATTTTCACAATTTTTTTTAAGTCATTACGTTTTTAAAAAAAATTAAGATCAAAATTGAGCAATAATTTAAAGAACTGAATTTACAACTGCGATAAAATTTCAAATACACAAATACTTTTATGAATATATTTATTGTTTGATAAATTAAAGTAAATATAAAAATTGGTAAAAAGAAAATGGTAAGGGAAATAATTTTAAACATTCACAAAGAATCTAATAGACCTTCCTGCTCACATTCCTTGTCTTCCCTGAAAGTCTCCAAATTTCCGGTTTATGTTTTAAAATACCTTACCCTAATTATAAGTTGATAATGTTGGGATTTAACAAAGAGAAATTTCATCAAATAATACACTAATTTAATTTTCTCATAGATTACATTACAATTTTTTGTTATAAACAGACATTGATACCCAATTATTTAAATATAATATCAGATCTAGAATTAATAAACCACATTAAATGTATTTAAGATTATAAACATATGAATTATACATCCATGAAATACTTTTATATTTCACTTCTTCTTTCACAGAAGTACAATGAAATAGTTTTTTTAACAATGTCATTTCCTTGATTAGGGTGATCTTAAATGCTTTTTTCAAAGTTAAATTTTTTTTTTAATTTTACATTTACTTAGTGAATTTCATCTAATTTCTCTGGAAACATCTGTTTCCGTTAAATAATATTAGTTTTCGCAAATTATTATTTATAATTTTTCATCACTCTCCATTACCTTCTATGACTTTCTGTATTAGATATATATGTATTTTTTTTTCTGGAATTCTCCTCTTCCCAACGATATATTATACGTATACTTTCTGACTATTATTTCCGGAAATTCATTTTCGACCTGGATAAGCATTTTTTTTTTTTTTTTTCATTATTCAATCATAAAATTCTTTCATAAGTTTTATTTAGCATTTTTTCGTAACTCCTAATAATGAGATACAGTTAATTATTTAAAATAAACCAAATTAAAGGTATTTTAGAGGAAGAAGTGTTGAACATTGGACATTTCAGCTCTGTAAAGTGACATCAATGGGAATAAGATCTAAATGATATTAAAGACCACTTAATTATGCAATGATACACTGTTTAATCAAAATCATTAAGAGCCATTTTTGAGAAAATTGTAAAAATGTTTATCACAATAGATATAAAGTGGCACTTCTGGTTAGCCGATTTTAAAGAAAAAGTTGCAGTAACATCTCAGCCATATATCTATCTTAAATACGTAATATCAGTTTTGTACGTCTTTTCGTCATAGAGCTAGACTGTTCACACACACACACACACACACACACACACACACACACACACACACACACACACACACACACACACACTTGGTATTTGACTTGGTAATGGTGTGGGACTTGGTAATTTGGACTCAGGGGACCTCAAAATGTGTATTTCTGCTGAAAACTCTGTGTCTTTCTGTTGAAAAATTATTTATTGTTTCATTGGCCATGGGGCGACCCTGGGTAAGGTAGACCCTCCTGGGGCATCCCAGTCTATAAAGTGGGTACCCTTAATTAAAATAATTTATTAAGGGTAAAAACCGGGTGGTTGAGCGTGATCCAAGAAACAGTGCTTTCCCTAAATAGTACTGAACCCATGGCTTGTAATGGTAGTTTTTTTTTTTTTTTTTTTTTTTTACTAATTTATAAAGTTGGTCTACAAACAATATTTAATAAATATAATATAAAAACTTACTTTAACAGTCTGAAAGTTGTATTCTTCACCACTGTCATTATAAACTATGGTAACATAATTATTTCCGATATGAGTTTTTTTTCTGTTTCCTTTTGGATCGTTAGGATTGTTTGGCATCAATGTAGCAACATGGAAGATCACCTTAAAAAAAAACAGAAAAATATAATTTAAACAATTTTTGTGTACAATACCAATACTGTCTTCATAAAAAAAGGAAAGAAAGGTCTTCATCTTTAACCTTCCAGTGCAGCATGATTTTTTGGTAGTGATTAATGTTTTTTTCTGTTATTTAAATAAAAAATTCACTTTACCTTAGAACTTAGCAGAGCCCTTTTATCTTAAAATGCCTTTGGGCAATAAAAGCAAATTAGAAATTATTCTAAATATATCTATATTTTAATGTTTTTATATATTATATTTTGTATAATGAATAAAAAATTTCTGGGGGATGGGAAAAAAAAGCACTCTATTAGTCATAATGTAAATGCTTCTGGAATCTCTGTCCAACGGTTTGATATCAGATGTATTTTGTTATTATTTTGCCTTATTTGCTCACCCTCCTCTACTCTCTCCTAACCTACCTCCTTTCTCCATTCTTACGTTTAACTTGGTGATCCCTTGTTCCGTACTTGCCCCTTTACATGTTTGTCTTTGGTCGGGACAAGTGTAAAGTTACCCATCCTTGCAAGGCTGTGGATGGTCTCCTCAGCTTGCTGAGACCTGGATGTTAAAATGGTTGTCCCCCTTTCTTGGTGGTTATATCCTATACTCATACCTAGTCTTCTATTCTCTCCCACTCTACCTCCTTTCTTATTTCGTACGTTTAACGTGGTGGTCCCGTTTTGTGTACTTACCCCTTTACAGGTTTGTCGTTGGTCGGGAGAAGTGTTAAGTTACCCATTCTTGCAAGGTCTGTGGATGGCCTCCTCAGTTTGCTGAGTCCTGGACGTTAAAAGGGTTGTCCCCCTATCATTCTTGGTGGTTTTATCCTATACTCATACCTAGTCTTCTACTCTCTCCCACTCTACCTCCTTTCTTGTTTTGTAAGTTTAACTTGGTGATCCTGTTTTGCGTACTTACCTCTTTACACGTTTGTCGTTGGTCGGGACAAGTGTACAATTACCTATCCTTGCAAGGCCTGTGGATGGTCTCCCTCAGCTTGCTGTATATTATGGGGGTAGTCCCCCTATCATTCTTGGCGGTCTTATCCTGCCCTCGTCCTGTTCATCTTATCTAAATCCTTTTCATTCTTTAAATAGGAGTGAACAGATATGGTAAGAGAGATAATTTAGTGTCAGAGGCAATATAGACAGCAGTAGAAAGATAGAGAGATTAGATAATATTGAGAAAGTAAACATCAAGTGAGAAAAGAGATAAGACATTTAAAAAATATCATAAAATACTAAACATAAGTTTGACTATAAAACAACATAAGTTTACTATAAAAAACTATTAGAAAAATGTAAAAACTAAAATATTAAAAGCAACAAATTAATCACTTATTCAAATTAATAGTATTCAGATTTGTCTTGTCGATAACACGAAAAGCACACAGGCTCAATTACAAGATGAGCTTTGTAAGTGTATTTTTTACACTTGGCACATGTTTTCGTAGTGTTTGTTTTTCCTTCCACACACATGAAATCTTCACATGATATTTTAAAAACATCAATTTAACCATGAACACCAAAAATATCCAAGAAAAACTAAAAGTATAATACAAATAACCGCACCGCACGGAGTGTGCCACAACAGTTTTTCATGCAATTTCAAAACGTACAGGGGGCTCTAAGGATCAGAGGTAGGTTAAGAAGATAGCAGAAATACAATAGGGGTTTGATAAAGAAATACCTGTGATAACCATGACATTCGGACACTTTGAGGGATTTGAAAGCCTAAAAACCGAGCCAGGTGCATTCCGTGCACCAACACGCCTGCTCAAAGGTCAATATGATATCTGGTTAATTGATAAATGAATAGTCTTTCATTCACTGCCTGACCATCTTACCATAAATTTAAAATTTGAATAATTAACAAAATGATACAAACTTAATATTGCATGAGGTAGTATAATTAGTAACTTTTTACTCATTAGGAATATCATGGTTCAGATGACATTCATCAAGGTAAACTCAAAAATAGTAAGAACTAATAAATAAAAGGCAATATTTCGACCCACAATCCAATTTTTTTATCATATGTTATAAATCTTTCAGTAAGGTGCCCTCAGAAAACATATAGTAACATACAAGTTACAATGTAAAGTATATAAGTGAAATCATTATATTAGGAAGAATATAAATAAAAATCTTTCTTTATCAATGTATTTTTTTATTGATGTTTACTAATCTTGTTTATGTTTCAGAATATTCTTCCCGATCATCTAGACATATCTATCTTATATTTTCGCAACCATGTGTAATCCTTGATTCCATAAAAATACATATTCAACATATTTTTTCATAAGCAACAGATTTTAAAAAATCATCCCTTGATGCACGATTATTCTTTACATATCCTACAAATATTCCAGTTTTTGTAAGCCTGACGAAAACATGCTACATGGATCAAAATTTCAACTTTTTACTAGATATTTTGAGTAGTACCATCTGGTCTATCATCCCTGATTGTCAACTGATAAATATTTAATATTTTTTATTAGTGATTTAACTAAAAATTAGATTAACTTATTAAAGGAACAACTATAAAATAAAGCCATTAAATAAAATATATAATATAAAATATAAACATTTACCTGCATAACATCATCTTGCCAGATATACGCAAACTTTCCATCATTTCCATTAGTTTCCAGCCCTCCTAAGAAAACCTGTTGCCTATCAGCTTCTGATAAATTTATTAAGCTACCCAATCTCTATAAAAATACACATTTATTTATAGATGTACAATATAAAAAAATTGTTTAATTAAAGGTCAAGTTGATAAGTGACATTTATAAAATTCTCAGAAAATTGAATTTAAAGTTTGACACTGACACTTTTTTTTAAAAAGCTGATACATAATTTCTAAAAATTGTTTGGAAGGTAGGAAAGGTTCCTGATTTAGATAAATAAACAAGGTATATATTTAACTTATTTAATGTGCTTACTGCTTCTATGCATTGAAAGAGATCTGGTGAATTATGATTTTATATGTGAATCCCGGAGCCAGTGTCCAAAAACTAACCTGATCGCAGGCAAAGGTTTGAATGTAAATTATGAAAGTGTATGTTATTCTGAGTAAAATGAAACTTGCGTGGTATTCCAAAGCTGCCGCTTTCATAAATGGCTTCTGATTTAAAGAATATCATGCCTCTAACTTCAGGATTAAAACGGAAAAAATGTTTTGTGAAAATTTGGGTAAAGTTGTTATTTTTTAAATTTGTGTATATGGGTATTCTGAAAAGAATACGTAACCTTTCTCGGAAGCGTCTGAAAAGACGATTAGCTGCATAGATGATGCGTTCTGGCTGAAAATACAACGAAACAGGCAAACATTTCTCCAGCTCAGAAATTCTTCAAGGAAAACCTTCCATGAAGACACATTAGAGGGCAACTCATCATCCCAATCAACATTGAGCAGCCACAAACGTTTTAATATGCATTTAACAGAAAAAATTACCGGACTGATACATCCATTTATATCGAAAATTTTGGCAATGAAGGATAGAATACCTCACTTTGTAAAATTAGGCTAACTTTCTTGTATTGAATATCCGAAATGATCAAGGTTAGGATCGCAAAACCTTGACAGTCAAGGAATCTCCATCCAGGATCAACGGAACTTCTTGACTACCCTCGGGTATAACAGAAAGTATTTTTTCGGAATCGCTTGAGAACTTTTTAAGTTCAAACCAACCTGCTCCAAATAAGGTCATCAAGTCATTAAACAGTTCCAAAGCCTCATCACTATTGCGAGCACCTGTGATTGCGTTTTCTACATAAATCTGGTCATGACACTGGGTAACTTTAGGAAAATTATGGCCTTCTTCCCGAAATAACTATACAATGACTCTCTGAGCAATAAAGGGAGAACATTTCAACCCAAATGGCAAGGTAACCAACTCATACCTCTGGCTCAGCTGTGAAGATTTACTTCTCCAAAAAAATCGTAATAAGTTTTAATTAGTTTCAGCAATGAACATCATTTTTATATTGCATGTCAAGGCCACATGAAAGCATCTAAAATGGTCTATAAGTTCCACAATATCAGTCTGGAGCTGAGACCAGTCAAAAGTGAATCATTCAGTGAGTTCCCTCCCACCATCTTCTCCGAACCATTAAATACGACTCTAAGCTTTGTCGTGGAAGAATCTTAAATGACTTCCTCAGTATCTCAAAATTGCTTTAATTCCTCCTGTAAGGAAAGTTTGGTCTGCGTGAAAAGAGTACGTACTATACGTAAGGTATAGGGCTTTAGCTTTCCGAGAGAGTGTTCCCAAATAATACCCATCCTAATGAGGTTTGAATAGCTTTTGGTTATACCCATCCTAATGAGGTTTGAATAGCTTTTGGTTAACTCTTCAGAAATAAAAGAGATTCACTTAAAAATCTCACCATACCTCTCAGCAGCCAGAAGCAGATCAATTTTTCCCGGCGTATGAAATTGAGGGCCCACAAGTTCAATCAAAGAAAATTTATTGTGTACTTCTAGGGATACAGCAAACAAAGACAAACTTCTACTGATGCAGAGCAGTACTCTGGCTGAAAACTCATAAACATTGTTATTTATCTTCAAACCCAACTTCACTTTAAATCACCTGAAGATGAAGATATGGAGGTATTACCTACTCCAGACACCACAAGAGGACTAACCCAGGAACGAAGGCGTAACTTTTTCATTAGGTCAGTGGAAATTAAATTAATTTGGGAACCTGAATCTATCACCATTCTGCATAACTTGAACAAATTCTATCTGTCAGTACCCAGAAGTACACGTGAGTTAGTGGTAGCATGGCACGAAACTGCACGAGAATTGTTTGTTACTTAAGACTGAGAGGGCTTAGTATTTGCAGCCTTATGTAACATCGTATGGTGACTCTTTTTGCCACAAACTTGGCAGCAACCTTTACTTTGACATTTAGATAAGCAATGAGATCCCGTACAAGAAAAGCACAAATCAGACGTCTTTAGTGGTTTATAATGATCTTTAACATTTGCATTCAGAAACTGAGGACAGTTTATAATTTTATGGCTTGATTTACAGACTGGGAATTCTAACTTATATTTCTGATTATCCGGTCTATTGCTGATTAAAAATGTTTGTTGCTGAACAATAGGATGTGAAATTTTGGATATAGTAGGCCTAGAACAACACATTTTTGCGGCTCTAAGTTGTAACCTAGCAAATTTACTAAATTCTTCAAAGCTAGGAACTGTCTCTTTGCTGAGACTATTCTCAAACATTATTCTTGTATTAGGATCTACAACGTTCAGTTCGAGATGCAGTAAAATAAAATCAGCGAGGTTATTGAGTTTAAGAGGCATTATAATTATTTTAAAAGGCATTATAATTATCTTCAAATGTGTCCAGAATGTTTCTAAAGTTGAAAGAATTATCAACAGAAAATTATTTAAACCACATAATTTTGTTAAGATGGCAGGACGCAATTATCCTTTTATTACTATAATGCTTTACTGATTTATCAGAGACCAATTTTCTGCGTTAAACTCAATTGAAGAAATGGCCTGTGAAGAAGGATAAACTAAAAGTGACTTGAGATAAGAAAATTTGACTATATCCCTGTAGTTTGGATGATGAATTAAGGCATCAAATAATGATTTAAATTAAGGAAATTGTTTTTACTGTGCAGAAAATTGAGGAATTTGTAGATCTGGTAATTTAGGATGCCCTACTGGTTGAGACATTCTGTGTTGAGATGCAGGGAACTATCAGCTCAGCTTTAATCAATCTCTCATGAGCAACTTTTATGTCATAATAAAGTTCTTCCACTGCTAAAGAAGGTGCAGTTATCTCAATCCTATGTTCCTCCTCTAACGATTCATTTACCACCGAAATTTTGTTCAACATTGCTTAAAATTCCTCCAGTTGTGTTTTAATTTCTGAAGCCCTAGCCATAAAAATTTTCTTTAATCATATCGAAAGTGGTTTGAATTCTAAGAAATAGCCTTTCCTTTTCATCATTAATAGCATTAAGTCCCTCAGTACTCTTAGTTGGTGCCATCTTCAAAGTTGTTTAAAAAAATAAATATTAATTGCTGAAGGCAAAACCAATTTTCATTGGTTTAGATTTTAATTGACATAGATATCTTACTTAACTGAGAGGGCCCTCCAGTCAGCTATAGTGAATCTGTGGGAAGGAATAGGGCTGGACGCTGTCGTGGATTAAATTGTATCTTTTTATCTTTTAGATCTTATTTGATCTGCTCCCACCACTGGCCACAATGGGACAATTGGGCATAATAGTTCTCACACAAAACAGTGATATTTCGTTTTTTAGCTAGACTGTTCAAACATGCACATCCACACATCATTTTGTATAGGACTTGGTTATTTGGAATAAAGGGACCTCAAAATATATTTTTCTATTGAAAACTTAAGATTCGAAAATTTTCTTGATGCATAACTTTCCCTTACTATATATTACATATAATAAGGCCAACTTATGGTTAGACAAACTGAGAACTGAATTTAAATTTATGAAGCTGGAAGAAAGAAATATTTAAAATATATCACTATCTAATAAATCCATAGTAATAATTCAATTTTTCCAAAAATGTCACATACAATCTTTATCCATTTCATCCTTCTTTTTAAACATATTTTTAAGTTTTAAAAGATAGTAATCAATAAAAGGAAGAGATAGAAATGATTGGCTTGAAGTCCTTGAGGATGCAATAATTCAGTAAAACCTAACCTATATTTATATTTACATAAAATGTTATATATAGAAAAAGATTTTTACCTCTAAAAAGGCCATATATCTAGCAGATCCATATTCATTTCTTAAAATTTCAACTTCCGAATTTGCTTGTCCAGGAGCGACATATAGAACCCCAATCTGTAAATATATTTCTTATATTATAATAAATGTATTATAATAAAAAGCAATTATTCCAAGCAGTAAAGAGAGCAGCATCCTTCCAAATGGACCATCCACACCAAGTATTAAAGTAAACATTATATCCTTACAATCTGAACATTGTGATTTTCATGATAAACACCTTTATTAAGGTTATTCATTCTTTTGAGAGATCTTTATATAATTATTATATTTAATCAATACATGATTAAGTTTATACAAAAACAACTTTTAATCTCACCAATTTTTATTTTATAATTTTTTTTATATTTATGATATTTACAACTGCATTACAAATAAAAATACATTCAGTAAATGTGGACATAAGAATATAATAACAAGAAACCACTTGTTGAGAAACTACCAACTGGCACTCTAAAAATGTATTTACAAAAGTAAATCTCGAGGACATCTTCTTTTCAGATGCCTCAGAGAATTATCAGAGATCGAAGAGGAAGCAAGGTTAGAAACGAGAGGGTTTGGATGGTTGGGCAAGAATGGGCCAGGTCAGAAACATAAGGAACATTAAGGTCGTTATGGATGATTTTATTTGTGACCAAGTAAGGAGCAGTAAGGATTTTTGATTGTAAGAATTGGATACAAGAGAAATTCGATGGCTTAGTGGAGCTCCCTGAGCTCAACTCCGTAAGTCCATATAGGTCTTATTGTAGTCATGTATATGAGTCTTTTGTAATTAACAGGAAGCTTAGAGCGTTTGCTTAGTAAGTGCTGGAGTAGTCGGAAACGTCAAGCGGTTCCTTGTCGTTTCAGTCTGGTATGAGGATTCCAAGTTAGACATTTGTCTAAGTGGAGTCCAAGGTATCAGATTTGTTTGAAAGAAATAAGGGAGGTATTATTAAAGGATACTGTAGAACAGGAGGACATAGATTTACGACAAAGGGTAAAGGTGATTTGATGGGATTTATTGGAATTTATTTTGATCCGTCAATTTTAACACCATTCTTCAAGGTTTGTGATGTGTGATTGAAGAGTTTGGGATGCAATGATTGGGTCATTATTAACTGATAGTAATATATTAACTCATAGTAATGACAGTGCTAGGATGCGTTGGAATATCAGCTGTATAAACTGTGTAAAGGATAGGACCTAGGATACTACCTTGAGGAACACCAGCAGACTGGGAAAAAAGGGATGAATAAGCATTATTATGATTTACTTTGAAGGATTTATCAGTTAGATAGGAACGGATAATGAGGAAGTATGTAGGATGTAGGAATTTACGGAGTTGTAAAGCAGTCCTGAGTGCCAGACTCGATCAAAAGCCTGTTCTATGTCGAGAAAGACTCCCGTGCAGTACATTCCGTGCTCCAAGGCAGAGGAGACAACATCCATCACATGATGGCATTGCTGGATAGTGGAATCCAAATTGATGACCTGGGATAATGTGATTGGAATCTAGGATGGGCTACAGGCGTTTTAAGATGAGTTTGCACAGGATTTTGCCCAGGATGGGTAAAATAGAGATAGGAGGATGGGTATTCTGGTAGCTTTTTGGGTTAATGTATCATTTGATAATAGATAATTTCCAAGGGTCAGGAAAATATGTGGATCGCAATAAAGCATTATATATATATATATATATATATATATATATATATATATATATATATATATATATAAGTAAGGAATAGAATGGCTTTCCGAGGAAGCAGTTATAGGATCTGGAATATAATTAGGTTGTATCCAGGAGCTTTTCAGAAAGGTAACGTTTGAATGATATTGGATATTTCTGAAGGATGAAGGGCTTTAGGTGGAAGACATTGGGAGTGGCATATCCAGTTCTGCTTCAATACATTCAAGCTGATTTGGGTTAAGAAGGACAATCAAACACAATCCGAGGGATTGGAATAAAGAATGAATTAAGGAGGTTATAGGAGAGGGAATTACCAAGAGGACAGTATTCAGCTGAGACTGTGAGATAGAAAGGTTGAGTTGAAAGGACTACAGAAGTTGATTGAATGACATCAGTTGGAGTGGAAGGAATAAAGGAAGGGGGTAAAGATTTATGTATAAGGATGCAGGAACCGGCATGGGAGGTGTTGTCTGGGTGATCAGTTCTATAAGTGAATTAGTCACCTATGTAGAAATGTGTAAGTTTAATAAAGTGAGCTTCAGTCAGTAGAGCAATATCAATGTGATTATTATGAAGAAATATGTTAAGTTAGTCACGGTGGTTATGCAGTCTATTAGCATTCCATAAAAGGATAGTTAGGGGCTTTTTGGTCATTGCGGGAATTGAACAGAATTTTGGTCAGGATTCTGATGAGAAAAGTGATAAGTGGTTTTATAATGTTTTGGAGATCCAATAGAAAGGATGATATAATGGAAGTTGCCAGATGGATGTTGATTGTGAATTGGATTCAGGATAGGTTCTTGTAGTGGATTAGGAGTGTTAACTGAGGGCAGGATCTGTCGTGCACGAGGTTGGTCTGGATTGGAAGATTGGCTTCTTGATGGTGGTTTGTGTTTTTCTGTAGTCCTGAAGAGATTTATCAATTTCTTTTGAAGTAGACGGTAGTTATATATTTTGAGTAGATGTTTTTGGCAAATATGGAAAATTTGACGGATTGCCAATGTCAGATAGATGGGTGAAACTTTCTTGCTTCTGTTTTGCACTTTTTGAGGCTATGTTCTGAGCCCTCTGCTTATAAAAATGTTTATATTTATAAACATTGCATCCTTTGTAGTTTGCTGGATGTTCTTCACCACAAAGGGCGCATTTTGCAGTCTGGTCTCGAGGTCTCTTACAAGTGTCAGATGCCTGTGGGCCGTCACATTTCACGCACCTGGTCTAATGATGGCAATAGGTCTTTGTAGGCCCCAAATCTTGACACTTAGTGTATTGTACTATTATAGACTTCAAATTTAACGGTGAAATATATAAACCTCTTCACACGTAAAATTTCAATATTATTGCTGGCAGGCTCTTAATCAACAAAAAATAGTGGTAAAGGATATTTTTTATTTTTCCGTTGGGTGTATTACATATGATATGAGCCTAACATTGTGAACTATTTCTTCTAGGCCACTTTTGATAAAAGATATAGTGGTGCTTGAGTGTAGTCCTCTCAACACAACTCGATATGGCTTTTCTTGTCTTAGCTGATAATAATGAAAATCATAGTTTTTGGACGTGATGTAATTGATCAGTGTTTTGTAATTTTCTCGAGAGTTTGTGTTTATTTTGATATCACTAACTCTGGAGAAACAGTGGATATTGGTCTTTCCAATTAGATCGGCAATTTATTGACCAAATGTGATGAAGATATTGATTTTGGACATGAAAATAGGTGGCGGCTCGGGCTCAGAAAACTCTTGAGCCTACGAAATCTGGTTTGATGTTTTATGAATGGGAACAGGATTATTGGTGTTAGTTGTGGTAGGGAAAGTTGGCTGTGGTGTTATGGTAATTGATTTGTTTCTGGTTTGAGGTGGTGATTTGTTTTGCTCAGCTGACTGTTTAGTTTTAGTAGATTTATTTTGTTCGTTTGACTTTTTAGATTTATTCAGTTTATTTCGCTCTACTAATTGTTTAGGATTAGCAGATTTATTTTTTTTCTTGTGTGAATTACCCCTTCCCCCCGACCCAGGAGGAGTGTTTCGATGACGTTTTTGAAGTGTTTGTCTTTTTAAATACTGCGAATCTGTTTCGCTAACTTCAGAAAACGGCGTTTCGTCCTCCGAATCTTCACTTGACAAACTCTTATCTGAATTCATATTTTCCATATTATGATAAGAGAGAGAAAAAATATATATATACTCCTAAATAAGACAATTAGAAAGATTAAAGTTTACGAAATAAATTATTAAAAAATAAACTATATAAATAACTATTTTATAATTAAAACATCTTTTTAACAAGAATTATTATTTTATGTTTTGGTTCTAAAAAAGCCATTTTCAAAATAGTTTCTTTCAAAAACAAAACAACATTAGTCATATTATTTATAAAAACTATTAAATATATATGTATAAAGTATATTACTCAAAGAGCAGTATTTGTTTAATTAAAATATAACTTCTTTTCAACCTCCACAATAGCCTTTTTTCTCCTCTTTTAAATTATTTAGTAAATGCACTTTATTTTCTGATTGAAATTCAACTAAGGAGTAAATTTCATTATTTGTTCTTTCCATGGGTATTGTAAACATTATTTGCCAAACACGCCTTCCAAGATAGTAATACTATTACTGGGATTTACCCACTGGAGCCAGGATCCCTTCTCCCATCAGCTCTGGAGCCAGGGGCCAAAAAATCAAACTCATTGCAGGCGGAGGTTTGATTGTTAATTACGAAAGTTTGTATTATTCAGAGTAAAAAGAACCTTGTCTGCCATTCTAGAGCCGCTGCTTTCAAAAATGGCTGCTGATTTAAATAATATTACGCATGTAATTTGAGGATCAAAACAGGAAATCCATAGTGAAAAATGTGAGACAAGTTATTATTTTTTTAACTTGTATATATGGGTTTAGACATTTAAAAAACACAATTGCTAACGGGCCATCAAGGGAAAACTTTTGACAGCCAAAAAAGTTAGGTTTTTTCAATATTTTTTGTTTTTTCATCTATAACTCCTAAACAATGCATCAAAACGAAAAATGTATTCTTTAACAAATTAAAGAACATTAAATTGTGCATCGAACGAGTATATAGAATTTATAATTTGGTTGCTTGTTAAAGTATAAAACCAATGCTGATTTTTACCAAATTTGTTAAAAACAGAGACAATTTACTATAAATGGCCCTGTAACTTGAAAATTAGTTTCCTAATAGGAAAAACTCATAGAATTAAAGTTGTAGAGCATCAAATTATGCGTCCACTGAGCACTGACATTTTTATTGTATAAATCTCGTATTGAGATTCGTTATTCCTTTATGAAATTTGGTATTTTTCCACATATCCTTTATCAAAATCCTTGGCTGCTGAGAGGTGGTAAACCTGCATGTAACAGGCTCTAAACAAAATTAACTCAGTAGAATAGACACCCATACTATTGAAATATTGAAAATCACGTTTACCTTCATTTCCAATTTCTAACCACCGGTAAATGACCGATTTTATTTGGAGTAAGTGATCTACATTAAATTAGTAAGTATTCACTGGACGCAAAATCTGATGCTCTAAAACTTTGATTCTATGAGTTTTTCCTCTTAAGGAACTCATTTAAAAGTTGCAGGGCCGTTTATAATGAATTGTGTCAGTTTTGGGCAAATTTGGTAAAAATTAGCATTGGTTAACCCTGGTTTTATACCTTACCACGTAACCAAATTATAAAGTTTATGTACTTATTGAATGTAAAATTTAATGTTCTTCAATTTATTAACAAGCAGATTTTTTGCCAAGTAAATGAATCCAAATCCAAACACACCACCTTCACCCTTTGGCACAAGTCATGTCCACCAGTTTATTTAAACTCCATACCACTTTCCCTCTCCGACACAGTTCGGTATCTTGGCTTCCTTCTAGACAAAAGACTAACATAGAATCCACATACCAGACTTAAAAGACAACAGCTTAACCGATCTCCCATTGTTTGGCCATATTACTACTATCATTTCTCATTTCTGTTTTCATTTTTGCTAAACCATTCTTTAAATAATTTTTCATTTCATTAAAGCCAGCTAGAATTTGACTTAACATCGATTGAATATCTGATACTCCCGAGTTAGCACTGTTATGTATTTAAATTGGTTTGTCGGCTTCTTGGACCTGCGCAATACTTTCTTTATCATTAACTAATGAATTTTCCCAATACAAACTAACTTTTGACACGTCCGGAATTCCCAAAATTTCTTTTGCCTCAGTATTAAATGTCATTTTGTTTATTTAAAACAATATTTAAGTGAAAAAAATAAAATTAACGAGGATTGCGTTTAGTTTCCATGGCTATGTACGTTTTCAAAGCCCCACGTTGGGCGCCATGTTGTAATGTTCTTGTTCCCTCCAAAAGTAAACAACCAGTTTCTTTTTCAATATAACATTTATTTCTCATACAATAATTAGTTCCCAGCTTGGGTTTAGACAACTAACATACATCCTCATTTATACAATATAAAAGCATACATAATTTTATTACTCTTATTAATAAATTTTCATTCTGTTTGTCGGGGTCTATTCTAGGCGCGCGTTCGATCTGTCCATTTATATATTCTTCACTCACCCTGTGATGCAGCTACTTCTCTTCTATACTGGTGCATTCACTTCCACAACCTTTTCTGTTGACATTCACTACTTGGGGACCAACATCTTCTCACAGATCCTGGTTCCTCGCCGGCTGACTACCTTCTCCTTAACCTATGTCCTCTTCACTCGCTGGCCGGTCACCTTCTCCCACATATAAGGCTTGCTTCCCCCACCATCTGTACTTCCTGTCAGTAGTTCGTGATGTTACCACCTTCGCGCTAATATTATAAAACACTGTATTGTTGACATTACAATGTATATATATATATATATATATATATATATATATATATATATATATATATATATACACATATATCTTTTTTTTTCTTTCTTTTCTTACTTGGTTATTTTTATTTATTTTCCTTTCTTATGTACATATTGTGTGAATGAATACTATAGCCCTAGTACCAATGCCCTTAAATGTGGCAGACTGTATTAATACTCAATAAAACAATAAAAAAAAAATTTTTTGTATAGAACGTCTTAGTTGATGCGATGGATAGTTTTCCTGATATAAGCGAAAACAAAAAAAAAGTGAACTTCTAGGAGCCCTCTTCTCCCACATCTGGCTCATCACCTAAGAGTGTGGACTTTTAGTATGTTTACCTTAGTACTAGTCCAAACAATGTACCAAAGTCAAAAATTGTATTACTGCAATTTCCTTCTATATCCCCTTTTCGAGCATTCATTGATTGGACTAGATATCCAGTGGGATCACATTTATTCCTCAAAATCCATCGACACCATGGCAGAAACCCTCACCACTCATCTTCATTCCATCCTCGACCAATAAGCTACTCTTATCATAAAAACCTTCCTACCGTTCCTTCGCTGGCTCATGCTTTGAGAGAGTGTATGGGAGAAAGAGATGCTGCAAGGCATTTAAACAAACTCAACTTCCTGAAGATTTTCTCTCTTTCAAACAGCTTTGAAACAGCACTCAAAATGCTGTACGCCATAACGAATCCTGTTACTACCATCATTCCTTATCCAACTCTCCTAATACCAAGGCCACATGGGCTATATGGCACTTATTTAATAGCGGGTAGCGTCAAAACTTCCCTTCTTATCTAATCTAATTTCACATAATCTCCCATCTAACCTAAGTTATTCCCTTGTTTATTTTTTGTTTCTGGTGTTAGCTGTGTTATTTAATTATGAATGTTGTCATATTGTGGGAATTGCCATCTTCAGAAGAAGAGGCTATAAAATATTTTCAAGACGCCAGGATATTTGCAAAGGTCAAATATTGGGATGAAGGTCATTAAATGAAGTTCGATGGGAAGATTAAATGGAGATGCTTTCGTAGTTGTAACAAAACCGTTTCTATAAGGAAAGGAACGTGGTTAGAGGGGTCGAAGATTTCTTTTTTAACTGCTTTAAAATTTATTTATGGGTGGTCCCATAATTTAACAACAATAAAGGGGGGGAAAGAGCAGCTCAAACTATCCAACGCAACTACCGTAACATGGAACGAATTTTTAAGAGAAGTTTGTGCCCATGACATGTTATACAGGTCGAATAAAAAAATTAGAGGGCCTGGCAAAGTCGTCGAAGTAGATGAGTCTTGTTTGAAAAGAAAAAATCATGTAGGGAGAGTCCTACATGAGTAATGGATGTTTGGCGGTATTTGTCAAGAAACAGACGAGTGTTTTATCGTCAAAATAAACGATAGAAAAGCAACAACTTTATTAGAAGCCATTAAAAACAATGTAGAAAAGGGAAGCATCATTATTCCGACTGTTGGAAAGGATACAACTTAATGAAGCAAAGTACAATCCTTTTCAGGTGGATAACAGGTATAATTTTGTTGATCCATCAAGTGGGGTCCATACTCAACACATTGAACGATTATGGGGCTCAGCTAAGTGGAGAAATAAAAAACATAGAGGAACTGCCGGACAACACCTGGATTCATATTTATGTGAGTTTTTGTGGTGGTGGGCACATAGAGAACAGGATCCCTTCCTCGCTATTTTAAATACCATAAAACTATTTTCTCTACCAAAATAAATCAAGTTTGAATAAAATTTTTCATATTTTGGTCATAGTTTACTATTTCTTCATAGTGTTTCTTTTATATGTACATATGCTGTTTAAGTGGTTTTTTATTATTTCATTTATTTTGATAAATATGTTGTAAATAAAAGTATTTTTTTATTATTACATTTGTTTTTGTTCACAATTTCAATAATATCAATACAATAAATATGAATATGAAGATATAATAATATGAATATAATACAATAAATATGAATACAAACAGCTTATCAGTGTTTAGGTTATAAACATTGGCAGATAGCAGTCAGATGCTACCCGCTATTAAATAAGTACCGGCTATACTTACAAAACTTCATTTCTGTTTCTGCTGTTAACCTCAATGCATACTTTGTCTCCTGCTCTTTCTCAACCTCTTCTCCCGCATTCACTCAGAGCTCCTATATATCCTTCTTTTAATCCTCCTGATGATCTCCTTAACTCCATTCAGAAGTTCCATACCAATGATTAAGGGTCCCGATAATACCACAGTCAGACTAATTGAAGCCGCACTCCCATCCATTCTTCTGATCCTTTATTATGTCTGTAATTATTACTTCATCCATTCTTCCAATCCTTTATCATATCTATAATTATTATCTTCAAAATGATAGCTTCTCTACATCCTGGAAAACCGCCCTAGTTCGTCCCTTGAAGAAGAACTCTAACCCATCAACTCTTAATGATTTCCGTCCAATTTCCCTCCTTTCAAACCTCTCCAAACTTTAAGAGCGACAAGTCCAATCCCCACTATCCCACATTTCAGAACAGAATAATCTTCTGAGTCCGGCCGGTTACAGGACTGGCTATTCTACTTAGTCCACTCTAATCAAAATTTCTAAAGATCTTTATACAACCATAAAACATCAGAAACTAACCATCCTTTTCTCCTTGACTTCTCCAAAGTTTTTGATTCAGTAGACCACATCCTCCTAATCTAACTTTAAAAAAATCTGGTGCACACAACACAAAACTTTCACTTACTACTCAACTTTGAAAAGAAATTATTTTCTGGCCATCTTGGGCTATTATACAATTTTTTAATTGCATTTTTAACAAATCATAAATACCATTAAAACAACAAAAATCCTATTTATAATATCACCTTGGGTTATACAGGATTATATTATTTATTACATTGGATTATGGATTGTAGGATCTGTTGATTATGCATTGTACAACTATTAGTAATAAAACTGTTATTTTCCATTGCAAAGTTCACTAAAATACGAAATTTGCATTGTCTGTCATAGACAGGTCATCAGTTGTCACACTAATTGTAAGTGAATACTGTTGGGCTATTACAAAGGGAAAAATCATTAAATTAGTAACTAATTAAATATTAAGCGTGTTTTGAACTATTTAAACAACTTGGTCTAAACTGTACCCAATAAACGTACCTTATGCACTTCGTATGGAGGAATCCAGTCCAAGTTTTTCACAGTGGCTTGTACTGAAGGAATGTTAGAAATAAGAATAGGCTTCTCATGTGCTATTCCAAAATAAGGGCTGTGGTATAGCTGCAAGAAGGCAAACCTGAAATATATTTAACTTTATTTAATATTTCAAATAATAACTCATAGTAATTCACAAATTTCTTATAGAAACATACAGAGAGTCTATGAAAATTCTTCTGTTTTTATTTTAAAGAGAAGTTAGTTGTGAATTTGGTGAACAGTAACACAAGTAAAATGTGGGAATATTTTTTGGACTGCCAACGTTACAATCTACAATGTAGGTCAGTTCTCTTGCTTTCTTCGCAATTACATAATGAAAGGCCTGACAAACACCTACAACATAGGTCGAAACATAGGCCAATCCAATAAACATCAGTCCCACATATTATGTGTGTGAATGATGACCAAATCTCCCAACTAACTTCTTAAATTAATCCTTCAGCTTCCCTAGTGTTCCTAAATGCACTTGAGTTATATTCTATTAAATTATTCAAATATTTTTGCTTTATATTTTGCAAATAATAATAATATTTCCAAAGACAGCTCCTGTCCACACTATCATAGGTTGCTTTAAAATCGACAAATAGGGCGTGGACCTCCTGAGCTACTTCCCATCGTTTTTCAATTACTTGTTTTAGGATGAAGATCTGGTCTAGCCTACTCCTCCCTTTTTTTAATCAAGCTTGGTGGTTGCCTATTATATTTTCGTAATACGGATATATCCGGTTTAGAAGGATATTGGTCATTATTTTGAAGAGAACCGGAAGGAGTGCGTTGCCTCTGTAATTACTACACTCTTACATGGAGATTTTCTTTAGGATAGGACAGATTAGACCCCTATTCCAAGTCTCAGGTATCCTTTCCTCTTCCCACATTCTCTGGATTAGTTGTAGTAGCTTGGCTCTTAAGTCGTCTCCTCCATCTTCAAACAGTTGTCTATTCCAAGGGCCTGTCTTGTATTGAGCCTTTCAATAGACATTTCAGCATCCAGTAAATCTGGTTTTAATCTCTTCTGGGTCCCCTTGATTGAGAAGTTCCTGGAAATATTCTTTCCAGAATGTTCAATATTTTTTCTTTAGATGCCGTCAGAATGCCATATTTTCCTAGGATTTACGTATTTCTCGCTTTATATCCTACCCTTTCTTTTCTAATGTCTGCGAGTAATTCATGTATATCTCCAGCCTGGCAGTTGTTCTCAATGGTTTGCAATCTTTCTTCGAGGAATTCTCTTTTTGCCAATCTTATAGTTTTGTTTGTCTTTTTCTTGGCAGCTCTGTACTTGTCCTGAGAAACTTTATCAGTTGTAGTTAGGCAGAGGACTTTCATTTTTCTTCTTTCCTCTACTGCCTGTTCGCATGCTTCTGTGAACAACATCTAAGCTTTTCGTTTCTCCTGAATATCGATTACTTTCTTAGCTGTTTCTTTTAGTTCTTTCTCTATTTCCTTCTAATGTTGGTCCATTGTGAAGCGATCCAAAACCAAGGGTTCGAATTTATTTTTCAGCTCAAGTTGGAATTTGGTTTTTGCTTTAGGATTTTTCAAATTACGGAATATCTCCTTATTTCCACTCGATCCCCTGTTTTGTGAATTCACTTCAATATCTGACATAGTTTAATTCTAATCAGAGAGTGATCCGAATCACAGTCTGTTCTATGGTAGCTGCTTACATCTTGTATTCAGCTCTGATGTCTTTTGTCTACCAGCACATGGTCAATTCGGTTTTTCGCTCCTTTGGGGCTGATCCAGTTGTACTTGTGGATATCCTTGAGTAGGAACATTATACAGCTGACGACTAGATCTTTACTTAATGCCAGACTGATACATCTCACTCCATTGTTATTGCTGTTTCCGTGAAGGCTTTGGCCTCCGATAATGGGCCTAAATTGGGGTTCTCATCCTATCTTTGCATTGAAGTCATCTATGACTAATTTTATGTTATGCCTATGAGCTTAGTCCACATTATTTTCCAAATGATCGTAGAAATCATCCTTCACCTCTTCACCTTTATCTTCGGTTGGTGCATAAACGTTAGTTATCACGATATCAAACCAATAATCTTTAACTCATAATACACTAAACCTTTCATTTATCAGGGTGAAGTTTATGATTGAGTTTCTTGCCACTGGACTAACTATAAATCCCATGGCGGCTGTCGCATTTTTATAGTTTCTACCAGAGTTCTACTCTACTAATGTATAGTTAATGTATAGTCCGTAATTCAAAGCCAAGGTCATTACAACGTTTAGACCGTCCTATTTTGTGAGGCTTCTTTTTGGTTTCGTAATAAGGTGTTTTTTTATGGGATACAGTTATTAAATCTATTCCCAACCCCCAACCCATAGGACCAGGAGCTATGGTATAAGACATAGAGGTCGCTCAACTCTTTTTGAATCTCTGGGTGGTGACATTACCATCCCCATGTGGGAATCAAGCATACACCATAGTGGTCAAAGTAATCAGGTAGCGCTTGCAATTTTTATTTATTATAATCTTTTTGTTCCCGAGAACAGGACTTCTTGGTTTCGATAAAAATCTAAACAAAAAGCCTCTATGCATCAAGTATATTTTTGCAGGCGCCTTAACTTTCTCAACCACCGCGGCCCCTTTCGATGTATATATGGTGTTGGTATATTTCTCCTTTCAAGTAGTTATATTTCTTCCCAAGGTAATACTAGCTAGAACTGAGACACTCCATTTGCTGCCAGCCCAGAGAATGAGGATCATTCATCCATTAGTGAAGACCTTAACTTCCTACGTTTTGGATTGAATTTTAATCATTTGACTGAAGTAAACTTAATATCTTGCGTCCCTTAGAGGTAAAAAGGTTCATATCAACTTTTCTAATAATCAATTACAGCAAATATAAACAATAGAAAGTCGCCATGACAACTTCACAATCCAGGAATAAAACAGCAGTACATGTCCTATCCATTGTAAGTCTATATGATGCTTTATAGTTCTTACATTTCTTGAAGTAAACAAAACCAAGTCCACATAGTGTCTTTTACTTCTGATGATATCTGAAAACAGACATGATTTATTTCATTTTTAAATGTCTTATCTTCATTATTTATGGAAATATAGACATAATGGCCTATACCATTGTAGAGATTGAAAAATCCACATTAAAAACATGGTGTCATTTAGCTCCAAGGATCAGATATATAGTATATATATATATATATATATATATATATATATATCAACGCAATCCATCCTCCCTAAAATAACCCATGACCTCCAAAGCTCCATAAAACACCAAAACCTTACTATCGTTATCCTTCTATCTTTTTCCAAAGCATTTGACACAGTCGACCGTAACATTCTCCTGACTAAATTGCAAAATCTTGCTCTACTTAATAGAGCCCTGTGTTGGTTCAAATCCTTTCTTTCAAAATGATCCAAGTATGTGGTTGTCCCAGGTCAACCTCCTAAGACACTTCTCCTCTGCTGTGGTATCCCTCAAGATTTCTCTCTATTCCCTACTCTGTTTGCTATTTACATCAATGACCTTCTTCTGACCTATTATTAGCTACAAAAAAAAGTGAAACTAAAATATTTGATAAATTGCTTTGTACGACTCATCTTCATTTCGACAGATCGTTCATTATCCGATCCTTATTGCTGTAAAACTCCATCGGATCCTATATCTGTTGCTCCAATACCCTTCCTACCTTTAAATCCCACCTGTTTCATCATTTTTTATTCATCCAGTCCTCATAAAATTGTAAATAGATATTATTGTAAATATGTATATAAATTATTAGATCATTCTTAATTATTTTTACATATTTTTTATAACTTTTTTATTAATTGATACTGATACTTTTTTATTATGACTGTTTATGTACTTTGTGATTATTATTTATGTATCTTTCGCCCACATTTCTGTATTTTTGTATTATTTTAAAGGGACTCATCCCAGAATAAATAAAGTATCATTATTATCATCATTATTTTTCTCGCATTTGCGGATTTGGATCTGAAGGTGGGGGACTATTAGGGCGACTACCACGACACTCTTTATGGCTGCTGACAAGTGAATTTTGTCCAATGTACTAGTGCATGTCAACATCCAAAAGAGTTTCATATTTTTATGTTTTGATCTTCAAGTTACCTAATACTCTCTAAATCAGGCAGCTCTGTTGATGTTGAAAACAGCAGCTCTGAAATGGCAGACAAGGTTCATTTTAGTTACCATAACATACATTCATATATTCGTAATTTACATTCAAACCTTTGTCTGCAACAAGGTCACTTTTTGGATCCTGGCTCTGGGGCTAATTCTTCTTAATATTTTATAGAAGAGCTTTTTGTATTTCTTGTAAAGTTTTTCCATAGTAGAACCATTTAACTTTACTTTTTGTTTTATATTCTAGAATCAAACAGATGTATTTTCCAATGTATTTTATCTATTGTTTCACATTTCACTAGTATGTTTGTTTGAATCTCTGGCCTATACTGCTTTTTTCATATACTGTTTCTGCAACCTCCAAGACAATTTTCTTAAAAACGTTTTACATTTGTATTGTCGGAATCATACGGGCATTTCTGGAGTGGTGTAACATATACTAATCATGGCTAAAATATTTTGTCAAGTTACTGGTAGTAAAATTTTTAAATTGACAAATAAATAGATACTTTTTTGTGATAAATAATATATTAATATTTAACTGTTACTATTAAAGATTAATATTGATGGAAGTTTGACTATTCTACATATCAGGGGTGACAAATAATTAGGAATCAATAATTTTTTTGGATTTTTTTTTTTTTTTTGTCTACATTTCAACTTAAACTTGTGGATCACCATCACAGCAGAAACATATATAATATTGGAGATATAAAAACAAAAATAAAAGATAATAGTTGTTTATGAATATAGAACCAGTAAAACTGGGTAATATCAGATATTTGAATCTGAACAATAAATAACAGTGGATACATAATTATAAAGTAGCATCTAATGTAGAGCTGATCAGTTTTTAACTTGGCATGGAAAACAGATGAATCAATTAGGAACTTGGAATGTCAAAGGTCTGAATGGGAAGGAACTGGAACTGATAGAGGAAATGATGA